TAAGTGCTGATAGAAGGGAAGGCTTTGCTTTTGGAGATAAGAAGCCCTCCCTGAGGAGCCAGGGGAGTTCGTTGATATCAGAGTGTCTTCCAGCACTTTGCAGCCATACCCTTTGTACGTGCGAGATGGTGAAGCGGTCACATAGACAGCAGACATCGAGGACTCTGTTTTTGAGGTCAGTTAACTGAACCCCTCGCTATCATCTGTTTTCTTTTCCCTAGAATTATTTTTCTCGTGTTGATCAAGCCTTTGCAGTGACCTCATTAGCTCACCAAGCTGTAAACAGACAGTCGAATCCTCATATTTTTGGAGATAGATTAATTCAGGAGAGAGAGGCACTTCAGGAAGGTATTTCAGCCTAAGATTTTGAAACGCTTAACAGCTCCCTTTTCCTGCTCTCTGTGCGTGCTTGAGAAGCTGCCCGGCTCTTCACGACGCAGATTCCTAAGGATTCCCTGTCCGGGTCTGGGGGCAACCAGGAGCGTCTAGAGCGAAGCCATTCACTGCCACCTCCAGACAGAGCTCCCTGCGTCATCCCACGGCAGCAGCTACGGTCGCTGGTTGTTAATGTCTCCTGATGCCCGTGTGTCAGTAAAGCAGAATGTCTAGGCCACTTTTATCTGCAGGAATTCAGTAGATCTAGCTTCCAGTATCAGGTAATTTGGGTGAGCGTAAAGTCGGGGCATGGGCAGAAAGGCTTTCAAAGCATTTGAAAACAAGGGGGTCAAATATTCTGGTGAGGCAGAGGCTGTTTTTACACAATGTTGTTCTCACAGTTTCCGTATACATTATACGGAAAAAATATTTCCTTTTTCATTTTAAACTTGCTGCTTGGTCATTTTCTTGGGCCCTTCATAGCTCACTTGTGAAGGGGGAGGAATGCCCTCCACAGGCAGCTCGCGCCCTCTCGAGTCCTGGTCTGTTTTACCTCCCTGTTCACGGTCAAGGGAAACCACCGCGTTTCCAAATATAGGTCTTTTTATCCAAAGCAGGAGGCAGGGAAGGAACTTGGAATATTGTTAAAAAAATAATCCAGCTGCAAAGCAGAAATCTAGAAGTGGTGCAAAAGCAGAGCTGCTTATTGACGGGCTGGAGCGAGCCCGGCGACGCAGGCACCCAGCCCTCGCCTCTTCCAGCTCACTGATGGAAATCCTCTGCCATCTGCCGGTACAAACTACCGAAGCGAGGTCTGGGGGTAGAAGAGATTGCCTCATACTATACAGTAGGAGAAAATAGTCATCTTTGAAGTATATAAGCTCTTGTCTAGGAGAAATATTACTTATTTTGGTCTAGTACAAGATAGTGCAATCCTCCAGCTTCTGAGCAGGAGGAAACCCAGGCTTTTGTCAGCGTAGCTCTTGGCCAGGGATTTGTACAGCGACCGACAAAGCCGTGAATCAAACGCCGCTGTGCGAGCATTGGCACGCTGGCAAAACCCTGCTTTTGCCACCTCCTTTCCCTGGAGGAGCGCGTACATCCACACGCAGAACGGCGAGAAGCACAGCCGGGAGGGGTAGAGTCAGTACGATCTGGAAAGGTGCAACAGGAACGTAATGCAAACCGAAACCACCCTTTGGTTACCCGTCTTCTCGCTATGGAAGCTTCACCTGTGCTTCAGTGCCAACAAGGAAGGTTTTAAATACTCAGCCAGGACTCAAACTTTATCAGGGAAATCCTGCTGCCGCACCTCAATGTATTTTTAGTTTTTTGGCCTTTGCTGCTCAGCTGAATCTCCTTGAAATGCCCTAACCCCACAGGCACTATTTTCAGCAGAACAGCAGCTCCAGGTTCTGTCTTTCCTGCTTCATGTTGCAGACCACTTTGGGGGTTCAGAGCCCCTTCATTGTGTCCAAGAAGAATCAGGCTGAGTCTGGGTTTTTGTTCTTCTTTTCCTGCTTGATGAAGGACTCTGAGCCTGCTGGCCGGTCTGCATTTCCTCATCAGTTCATTTAGTCTTATAAAGATTATTCCTAGGGCCCATGCCACAACGCTACTCAGAGATTACCCCAAGTACAACAGCAATTACAGAGGCCGAGGAAAACCAGGGCTCAGACTGGTCTTGCCCCATAACAGCAGCAGACTGCTGCGGGTAAGGGAACAGACTTGGGAGGAAGACAAGCGGAGTCATTGCCGAGGCATGGAGGGGGTGAGACGACCAAGCTGGTTCAAGCCCTCTCGTTCCTGAGTCGGCAGCAGAGGGACAGGCAACAGACGGGTGTTTTTCCAAAGCCGGGAAACGTCTGGGCCAATAAACCAGGATTTCCCTTCAATCAGCTCAGAGAATTCGATCAGCGTTATTTGATGTAACATAACTGTTTTGGAGCCAAGGACTGTTTTCAAGCTATCTCCAAAGCTATTTGTATTTTTCTTCTCTGCATCTTACTGCAGCTCTTTTGCTTTTCCTTCCCGCTGTTTATCTTTCACAGCACCAAGCCTTGCCTGTACTTCCCGTTTGGCTGTGTGGTTAGTAGTTTTTGCATTTGCTGTTATTTTTGACTTCCATCCAAGCTTTGTATGATATTAATAGCTATTTCACAGAACCGTAATCTTCCTCAAACCAGTCCTAATATTAGCAGGAGAAAGAGCCAAGAACCGTTGCCAAGGCCTGAGGGACTTGAGCTCGGAATTTCTCCTCTGTTCTGCCAGCACTGCCCACAGCCCTGCTCAGCCCCTGCCCCGGGGCGTCAAAACATCTGCCGGTCACCCGACGCGCAGAGCCCCAACCTGGCCACGACAGGCAACGGAGAAGCAGCTTGTGCAAGCCAAAGCACACAGAAAGAAGATGCTTACATGAGGACTCAAAAATTAGAACTTAATGGTAGTCTAATTAATGCCTCAGTCTAACAAAGATACAGAAATCACCATTCATCCAGTTACAGCAATGCTAACAATACCCAAATTATTTCATTTTTGTTAAAGGTTGTCAGTAACAGAAAAAAAACCCACACACAGTAGACCAAAGTATCCATCTACGCCCTTCCTCTAATATAAGTTCTCCCTACTTCCCTTGCATTGCTGCAGCAACTCATCAGCATCCCAAGGGGGGAAAGCAATGTTGATGGGTTGTTTCTTCTTTACTGGGAGGAAGATGATGATAAGGTTGATGGTTTCTTCCTCCTCAGTTTAAGGTCTACTTAGGACGCTTTTTTAAAATGTTTTTTCTACTACTCTCTACACATGAATCTTTCTTCAGAGCTGCAATTCCACGTTACATCCAGGTATGCTATGTAACCTGCGTTTTACCTGCATTTTTTCTGTTCTCTCTAAGACTGGTTTCCTCCGCCTGCCACAACCATGTTCCTCAATGATCAGTAATGGATCACCGATGAGTTGTGAACAGCCCGGGGCCAGCCTGTGCTCAGTGCCAGCACCCTGACCCTCCCTCAGCACTGCCCGCTCCTTAAGGAAGTACCTCAGATTTATCGCGGGCACAGCCGCTGTACCTCACAGTTACACAAAACTATGCAAATTTGATCGCTAAAAATCAATTCGCTAACAGCCGCCTTGCTGCTGGAGAGTTGCTCTTACAGGTAAACTAAACAAACTACAGCAAAGTTTCAGGCAGGTCAGGACAGATCCAGACAAACCAGCCCAACAAGCCCCAGCGCCAAAGCCTTGCGGAGTTGTACGGAGCCTTTGGCCTCTTAACAATAACGGCAGTGCCGTAGCCCGGTATCCTTCTCTTCTGTCACCTTAGCCCTGATACCTTCTAAAAGCTTTAGCACTAACAACGTCCTTTTCAGGGGGAAGAAGGTCTCCAGGGGCGAGTTGGGATCCTGCTGCTCTGACCACTGGGTTTCCTCTCTTGTTTATCCAGACCCCAGTCCCATTTTGTGAAGGGAAGGGAGTAGCTTCAAGACAGGGAGACCAGAATACTTTACTTCCTGGTTTAAGCTTTTCTCTTTCAGCCTTGTTTCCTCCAAGACAAATTGTTTAATCAGACCCTGCCCAGAAGGAAATACTTTCTCTATTTAAGGATCAGTCAATAAATGACAGACTCTGTAGTGCCCCGTGTATCTGCTGCAGCATGGGAGAGACGCAGCCCAAGCCATCGCTCCTTGACGACAACAATACACCCGCAGCAAAAAATGAGGTAAGTGCACAGCATTCATTCTTGTGGCAGCTCCCAGAAAGAGGGGGTTCGGGGTGACAAGGCTCAGCACAACGTCCTCGTTCAGAACGACAGAAAAGTTAAGGTTGAAAGGGACCTCTGGAGGCCACCTGGAGCAGGTTGTCCATGACCACATCCAGACAGCTTTGGAGTATCTCCAAGGATGGAGACTCCACAGCCTCTCTGGGCAGCCTGTGCCAGTACTCCATCATCCCTACAGTTAAAAGAAGTTTCCTGATGACCATTTGGAGCCTCAATGAGTTTCAGTCTGTGCCTACTGCTTCTGAACCTGGCATGGGGCACTATAGAAAAAAGCCTGGCTCTCTCTTCTTTGCACCCTCCCTTCAGATATTTACGTACGCTTTGAGATCCCTCTGAGCCTTCTCCTCTTGAGGTTGAAGAGTCCCAGCTCTCTTCACCTTTCCTCATATAAGAGATTATCTGGTCCAATATCTTCATGGGTCTGTTGGACTCTCTTTGTTGAGCCATCTCCTGCTGCATCCTTCAGATGAAAGCACAGCCCCTGTTTCCTCCCCATGGGGAGCAAAGAAGTTTTCACCACATGATTTTTGGCTGGCTCTGCTCTTTCCACTTCTTGCAGTCAATCCCAGGGCCTTTGTCTTAAATAAGACGAAGGAGCAGCCCTGGCTCCAGGCACTGGTGACTCCCCTTTGGGGAACGGCAAGCTAGGAGTGAAGCCTCCCAGATGCTTCCCTGAAGATTGGCTACAGGTTCTTTAGTAGCTTGAGTGCGAGGGACTTGTTGAGCAAATGGGGAGAGCCCCATCCTCCACCCCTCCCTCCTTTTTCACATACAGCTAGGAGCTGGACCACAGGACCCCACTCCTCCCCATGCTGCCTTTTCATAACCCACATTTTCCTCTCTGTAGCAATGAGCAGCTGAAGGAGAAGTTGGATGCCCTTCAATGCCATTTCACCTGGCATTTGGGCGTAACAGGCCATGTTGAACCCACACGTCCTCCAGAAGCTCGCTGTTGAAATCAAGCACACATCCCACCAAAACCACGCAGCACTCTTCGGGCTGCAGGCATATCTGTACCAGCTGAAAGGCCAGAGCAGAGAAGCTCTGCAAAGCCTTAAAGATGCTGAAGAACATGAGACACAAGATGAGCAGCAGGCTTCTACTGCTGATTCTTCGATTATCTGTGGGAATTATGCTTGGATTCACTACCTTCAGGGCTCTTATCAGGAGGCCAAAAGCTATCTGAAACAAATTGAGCAACTCTGCCCAACTCCTTGGGACGCACAGCTGATCCCATACATCCAGGCCCAGAAAGGCTGGTCCCTCTTGGCTATCAGAACACGTAATGGGGAACGGGCAAGAGAGTGCTTTGAGGCAGCATTGATGCTTGAACCACAGAACATATATTTCCATGCTGGGCTTGGAATAGCTCTTTATTCCACCTGGAATTACTTCTGGTATTCTGATATTGCAAGGAAAGCCATAATCTAATTGGAAAGGACTGTCCTTGAGCAGCCAAATAACTACAGAGCCAAAATATACTTAGCCAAGCTACTTGAACAAGTGCAGATAGAAAGATCAATTGGCTTGATAGAAGAAAGTGCAGAGAAAAGCTCCGATCCTGATGTCCTCAAAGCTTCAGCTTTATTCTGGCTGCAACGGTCCACAGAGCGAGCCATGGAGATATTACAGCGAGCCCTGAAGCAGGATCCAAGCTACCACCTTCTCTACCAAAGCCTTGGCCAAGTGCTATAAGATACAGTGGCTGACTGCAAAGCAGGAAGACAAGAATAACATATTGGAGGCAGCCATCAAACACCTCAAGCAAATTCTTCAGAAACATCCAGACCTTGACCTCGTGTTTTTAAAGCTGCAATTAGCAGAGCTCTATGGCGCAATAGACCCAGCACAGGAAGAGAAGATCTACAAAGAGCTGCAGGAGAGAAAGGACACCCTGAGCCCCAAAGGCCACCAAGCCCTTAATCTCTACTGGGGAAATTTCTTCCTCTACAAGAAGAAATCACTTGATGAAGCAAAAGCAAAGTTTATGGAGGGTTACAAAATTCCCATGCCAACAGAACAGAGAAAGGAGTGTGCACGGAAGTTGACAAAGGTGGCTTGGCACTGCCACAGCAACGATGCTGATGCTATCCACCGCTTCATCCAAAAGACTGACCACCACTTGCCTGCAGAATTTTTTGAAAGTGATCTGGACTGATGGTGGGAGCCCCAGTCTGGAGAAAGCAGAGTATCCTTTTCGCAAAGCTAGAAGGCATTAAGTACCAGTGTGTCTTCCAACAGCAGGCCCATCACCTCATATAGATGAGGGCTCTATCAGCTTCTCTGACCATCCCATCACTCATCCATTAAATACAGGCCTACCCATAGATCACTGACTGCCCACAACTTACACACCCTGCCCTGCATCCTGCCTCTCTGAGAAGAGGAAATGAAAACAAAGGTGAAGAATTTGGCTTATGGGGTCTGAGCACAATCCTTTGCAGGTGTAGACCTGTGTCACTCCCTTGGAGTTGCTGTAGATAAGAACTAAGTCCTGATTAGGGCAGCATGAGAAATTAACTCCCTTCAATTATTCGAAATCTATCATTTGCAGCAAATAAGAAGGTGGCTTCCCCCATAAGATCACTAACTGCTGAAGGGTCTCGATGAGGGTGAAGCACTTGCATACAGGACGGAGGTGGTCCCTGGCCTGTCCAGTTGCATTAAAGGCAAATGTAGCAAGAGCTTGCTGCTGATTAAGGAGCAGAGTTGTGATAATATCTGCATTAATCCTTTGAAGCGTGTGTGTGCTTGCCCCTGCCTGAACATAAGGTGGGTTTACTTGCTCACACTGGTATCAACTTGAGAGGAATCACTAGGAACAGTGTATTCATCACTGTTTCTGGGGCCAAAGTGAGGCTTTCAATATTTTTTCATCAATAAATATTTCAAATTCTTTCCCACATGATTTCTCCTGTGCAACAGCTGGTGTCTCCCTGTAGCCTAAAGCAACCAGAGCATGGGCTGCCAGAAGATAGACCCTTTCTTCACGGTTGTTCACTACCTATTCTCCCCAGCTCACATCCAGTACGGCTCTTTCTCCGCACTGTCCTGTCTACTCACACATCCCACGGTGGAACTTGTGTCCTCCCCTGCAGGCATGGATGGGCACAGCCCCCCATCCCAGCATTGCCGCCATGCTTCCAAGCACTGGCCTCTGTGCCCAGCAGTGAGCAAGTGACAGTGGCACACTAGGGTGCCCCCAAGCCTCCTCTGTCCCCACAGAGCGGAGCCATGGGGACCAGGGCAGATATCCCCCAGCAGGACCCGCTGCAAATGCCCCAGTTTCTGCTCCAACAAGGAACAGGCAAGGACCCAGTTCAGGAGAGGATGCTCCAGAAAAGGACCAAAGTCAAGTGTGTCCAAGACACAGGATTTGGGGAAGGGCAACATGCCTTAGTGCCCCCCTCATGCACATCTGGTGTGCATGAAGACACCAGAGGCCAGAAAACACTCACTTGTCCTGGGCCCCCAGCCCCACTGGGGAAGGGAAGCAGCAGCCCCCAGCTGTCCCATCTCCTGCAGTGGGTCAGAGCTAAGATGGAAACATGGCAGGAGAGGACTTCACCATCCAGAGCCTGCAACCAACAGGAAGAGACACAACCCAAGCCACCACATTCAGCCCAGGCTATTTTACCTCCTGGTACAATATTGGGGACCAGAACTGTTGTCTCCTCCCTCCTCTGGACCCATGAGCCACAGCCCGGTGTATGATCCTGCACCCCAGCACCAGACTGCCACGTTCATTAGTCCTTGGGGCAGGAGTTACTCGGAGCACAACACCTCAGCATTACAGCCTCCTGTAACGCTACACAGGCCCTGGTTAAAAGTCTATAGCACAAGTAAAAAGCATTAGCCAGAGTACAGAAACATAGGCCACATAGAACATCATGATTTACTTAACTGCACAGGTCAGGACAGTTTTCCAGAGCTTCATAAAAACAGCCACTTATAAACTTCTGTACATGTTCCACAAGTCTTTTCACACAGCACCGGGCAAGGTCACATAGCCCGATTTGGGAAAGCAGGGACTCCCAAAAGCTAGGGTGCTATTAAACTACCCTCATTCCCCTCACCAGTATGGGCAGCACTAGTAATTCATTTAGACTACCCAGGTGTCCTTTGGGTTTGCATCTACAGACAGTCCTCTACAAAGTTTTCCCTTTGTAAACACAGTATCAGGAAATGTTTCTTTAGAAAGCGACAGTCCCTCTGGCAGTTAATTAAGCAGAGCATCTTTTGCCCAGACAAATGCAACACTGCCATCCTCAGGATTAGAGGCTGCAAGCCACAGAATTACAGACCTGTGAATTGTTTGAAAGGCTGGATTCTGGCAAAATTCAATCGGGGCATCACTGCTGTGTGAAGAGCAACTTATGTAGTTTTTAAAAACAACTTAAGATCCTTGTATTTCCACTTCGTAGGGGTAGAAGACTGGAGGCTATTGAAAAATGTCAGTGAGTTCCTCTAGCAGTTTTTTTTTTTATTATTATTGTTATTCTTAACTCTTTGAACAAATCCTGCTAGTTACTTTCTTCACCAATACTAAATTTAGCACAGCATTAGATAATAAAAATACATTGCACAATAAAATCCCATTAAAAGTCTCAGTTAAGCTGAAAGATAAAAGGAAAAAGATCTTATTACATAAGCTGCCAAGGGCCATGGAGAGGGCTTGCATTTATTGTACTCATGCATATTGGTGTGCAAATGCTAGGACGACACTAACTCCCAGGTCCACTTCACTTCAGCATAGGAGAGGCAAAGAAGTTGCCCTGATGCCCAAGCTGGGTTGTTGACTTGCTTTTGCTCCCAAATCTAGTTCAAGAGAAGTAGAAAGACATCAGTTTGGGATTTAGGATATAGAGGTCTGACACTCTCCCTTTCCCAGGGGTCATTCACCCAAATTTTACCCACCTCCCAAACAAAGTGTTCCTCTCCCTGCCATAAGGTGACACTCATTAACCATTATGCAGCTTGTACTGCTACTACAGCACTGATTAAGGGAGAGTTGACCAAGCAGTAAATGCAGGCTGCTCCCAGAACTGGGTCCAAAAGTCTATTTTTAGTTCTCCCTGAACACCCAAGCCACCTGCAGTCATCCCAATATCTCCATGATAACACCACTGGCATTTACTTGGGGGTGGTTTTGCTGAAGGTAGACCGGACCCTCTGGGACAGGGAACTAGACGACGGCGTCTTGGAGAGCTGCTGTTCTGGAGTAGTGAGGGGTCCAAGCATGCTCACTGTCAAAAAAGAGGCAGCAAAGCGAGCAACATGAGGACAGCTCAAGTTTTCATTGCCATGCAAGCAACATTAGACATTCCCTAGCATCTGTCAAAAATACTAGACAAATCTGGTACTTCCTGGCATGCTTTTCTTCTCTCTTACTCCATAAAACATGCAGGAATGGCTAGCTCCAGTCTCACAAGCAGCTTTGATTGAGGGTCATTATTTTTAACACAGCAGCTGCACAGCCAATAGAGCAGCACCCAGGGGTTACCTTTAACATCTGGTGTCTGTGGGGTGGAGTAGGCATTGATATTCTCAATTACGTGTCCTGGGTCAATGTTTTCTTGCTCCACCATCATCAACTGGCTCCAATAGTCCATAGGAAGCAGCAGAAGTCGCTCCACTACCTACAGACACACCCACGAGTAGCTGATGTTACAAACAGCACACAGCTTTCACACACTGACACCAGACAGACATCACCTCAGCTCCCTCCAGTAATTCATTTGAATTCTTTAAAACGGTGTACACTCATCCAAGTCAGTCCTTTCTGCTGACCTACCTTGGGTTGCCGCTTAGTGTCTTGCAGTAGTGTCATAGGGTCAGGATCAGGTACCGCATGGGCAACTATTGTGGGGCCAAAGACTTTGGCCAAGTTGGTAATGTCCATTTTAGTCTCCGGGCTCTGTGCCACCCTGTATTAAAAAAGTTAAGAAAGAGAGAATGTAGCTTCTCCCCTTCACTTGTCATACAGTTTCCCCATCCCACACACACTTCAGCCTCTAAACAAGCAGTTTTTTCCAGAATAAAGACTTCCTGCTCACAAGCAGTAATAAGAGCCAATTAGAGAAAACACCAGTGGCAACATCCTCCTTTCAGAACTACCACTCCATTTGGACATACCTCTGCAGGTGGATCATGAGGAAAGCTAGGGTGTCCCTATTGGCCTGAGGAAGTTCACCAACTGCTTGGTACATAGCAGCAATACTGTTGTCCTCATCCAAGATTTCTGGGGGGCAAAAGAAAAAAAAAGTTTAGACCTCAAAAAGTTGTCCCAGAGGCACAACTGCAATATTCCCCTCACAGCAACAGCTAGCCTGAGAAACAAGGAAGCCAGAAACTTCACAGGCCATTATAATAATTTTGTATCCTGCCCAAGCACTAGAACTGTTTCTTTCCTCTTCCAAAACAGTACAGCAGAGAGATCTTCCCAGCATACTGCACACAACGCAGCTGCAAGCATGAGGGCTCCACAGAGCACTGAGGTCTGCCAGATCACACGACAGCTAAACCTGTGACCATCAAGCCTAGGAAAAGAGTTGAAGATGTCATTTAGCAACTCCTTACCTGCAGCTTCCATAAAAGCCTTGTTTAACCGAAAAGTGAGAAGAGGTTCTTTCAGGCTGCGTAGAAAGTCCTTGAGAAGGCCACAGACAGCATGGATATCATCCACTTTACTGAGCAGAGGAATATTTTTTGCTCTAAGAAACTTCTCTTTCAGTTCCCTCACTGTCTTGTCACAGCCAGATATCCGGTAAAGGCCTGTCTGTTAGCAGAAAGCATTGCTTAGAGGCAGAATATCAACTACACATATAAAGCTGACATTCTTCTGCTCCCACTTTCCACACCTGAGCACTCTACACTGACACCGTTGCTCACTTGGAGTCACCCACCAAGCAGCACTATACACGCCATAAATAAAAGAGATTTAGGTTAACAATTTGTTTCCCTAACACCACAACCCATTTCATTAGCACTGTTTCACACCTCATTTTCTTTTTACCTCATGCAGCCCTCGCTGCTCGATCTCATTAACACAGTGCACTATGATAGAAGGGATCATTGGAGGAGTAGAAGGGACAAAGTCCATCAAGGTCCCCTAAGAGGCAGAAGTGAAAATAAAAAAAAAAAAGATACTTAGTCTTC